TCTCTCTCTCTCTCTCTCTCTCTCTCTCTCGCTCACTCGCTCGCTCGCGTCTTGTCACTCTCTTTCCATTTTCGGGATATGTGTTCGATAATAAGCAATTCAATGAAGGAAACGTGGCGAATGCCAGTTTTAGGCACAGTCGGGTATGATGCGGTCGTCTATGGCATTGAAGGTAGAGCATGCGTAGGGGGTCCAGCGGTTGAGTTTGCACTTCATGTGTAAAACTTTACCAATGGGAGAAAGAAAGAGCATGCCCTGTTGATAAATGTTTGTTGGTGCATAAAGGTGGCGTCTTTAATGCTGTCCTCCTAGGGAATATGAAACTCCGCAATTTTCGCAAGAGGCTGAAATGAAAATTCATGCTCAACTGGAACAAAAACGTTTTGCATGATCGGATGTCTTCTATTTTTGCACGTGTTGGATCTTCATCGTCGTCGTAATCGAAAAACAGGACGACATTGCAAAAATGAAGAGAGGGTTAGGAAATGAGCGAGGTGGAACAAAAATTAATACAACCATGGAGAAGTCGTGTTGCAACCAACGCAAACCACAATTCCCCAACAACCACCCGAACCCACCCCACCTCGCTCATTTGCCCCCCCTCCGCAGCCCACCTTTCCCCAACAACCACCCCAACCCGCCCCAACGTTGTAATCGAAAAACAGGACGACATTGCAAAAATGAAGAGAGGGTTGGGAAATGAGCGAGGTGGAACAAAAATTAATACAACCATGGAGAAGTCGTGTTGCGACCAACGCAAACCACAGTTCCCCAACAACCACCCGAACCCACCCCACCTCGCTCATTTGCCCCCCCTCCGCAGCCCACCTTTCCCCAACAACCACCCCAACCCGCCCCACCTCGCTCATTCGCCCCCCCTCCCCCCCCCCTCGCCCCCTCCTCTTCTCCGGACTTCAGTACAAGGCAGCACACTTGAACAAACACAGGTGCTAAAGCACAAACACACACACACACACATGGTAGGTGGTGAGGGTGTCGGTGGGAGAGACAAAGACACGGAGGACGGAGGGGTTGGTCTACGAATGCGGGGGGGTTGGGAGTGGGTTTGGATGGTGTGTGTGGGTACATGCCCTATTTAGGTCGGGGTAGGTCGGACAGGAAGGTGCGTTTACTTTTTGGTTGGAGTGGTAGGGGCAGTAGTAGGCACGGGCTGTCCGGGGAAGGGTCGGTGCCACTTGTGCGTGCCACCTTGGGGGGTCCGTCAGCCTTCCGCAATGACGAACGACTTCGAAGGTGGACGGCGACATATCAGGTGACAATCGGGGTCTGCGGATCGGTGCATATGCGAGGGTGGACAGTGAGGGCCTAGTGGATAACATTGGCGGCAAACGTGTCGCTGTCAACTGTTGTTGTCTGGAGAAGGAAATGTAGGGGCGGAGTACTAGCGTGTCCTCCTCGCCCGATCGCGCATATGTACAGCAGCTCGCCAAGATCATCCACATGAGCGGCCATAGACCTCACGCCTCCTTCCTTCGTTCACCGACACCTCCCCGCCGTCCGGCGTCGCGTACACATCGCCGTATCGCCACATCAAGGTCGATATCGCTTACTCGCCTGCCATCCTCGAGGTTGGCGCCACGCGAGGTCGGCGTCACACGCTGGCCTTCCATCTGCACGCACGCGTCGCCTTGCCTGCCCGCCGCTTGTTGAACGGCAACTGCAAATCTAGCATACCGCGACGAGTTTCGCTCCATCGCCCTCTAGCTTTTCTTCTGCCGTCTGCACGAACACGTTTCGTGGATCACCTTCCGCCTTTGGTCCTTTCATGTCGCTTGATCGTCGTCGTCCACGTCGCCTTCGTCGTCTGAGTTGCACGAATCGTCTTCTTCGTGGACATCTGCCAACCGTCGCACTCATGTTCTTCGCCGTCTTCTCTGGCGCCAGCTTAGAAGTGCACGCATTGTCGAAGCCAGCCGTCTACGTTCGCGTTGGTAATCCAACACCGGCATTCCACGGAGACCACCACGTCAACAACACTACGATCGACGCGCCCGCGGATTAGTGATCGCGGCTGATCGTCTGCATGATCCGCGCCTTTTTCTGCACTCACAATCCCGAACGCGCCAGCAAGGCAGGACTGCTCATTGCGCAGTGTACGCCGTCGTTACTCTCCTATTGTTGTCGTCATCTTCACCATGTCGTCACGCGGCGGTAATCGTGGCAGGAAGAGGGACAGTTATGCAGGGGACACACCTGTGACGGAGAAGAAAAGACGACATGCTGCTAAGAAGAGGAAGGCATATGATAATGATGATGATGATGATGAACTTCTGCTAAGTTAATGAGAAGTTGTGAGATAAAGATGATGATAATGCTAATTAATGGAAAACCTTCCCCTGCCAGCATTGATTACCCTGGATGCCAGGGGATTGACTAAACAGTGACTTCTGAGAAAAGGCACTTTGCAAACAGTGTTGCAGAGGGCCCTTCAACGGGGTGAAGCACTGCGAGGACACGTGTAACTGCGTCGCTTGAGGGGCAGCAGTCGCGACGAGTGTCATCAACCCCCGACACGTGACGTGGACGAACACTTCCAGAGGGGGGAGGGGCTGCGAATGCGGCAGTGCAAGGGAACGTCAAGGGAACACAGCGACAAGACGTGGTGGGCACGCACCGCGGTGCAGTGGCGGGACCTTCGAGAGCGTCGCTGATTGCAGCGCCCAGGGAGAGCCGTGGGGATGGCGACGACGACATACCTCTGGTGAACAGGAAGCGGTGCGGGAATGCATGAGAGGGGATCGAAGCTGTGACCAGGCTATGCGTGGACGACATGAGGTTTTGGAACGAGACAGAGGGCAATGGACTCTTCAAGCTGATCCAGGAAGTGCGACTGTATTTGCTGCCCATGGCCAAGGGAGTCCCCCATCCAAACATCCGCCGGAGTATAGTCCTCCCGCACTCCAACATCCAGCAGCACAAAATCGAGGACGAGTCGCAGCTGAAGGCGACGAAAGACAGGGGGATCAAAGTGCAAAGCATCGCCTTACGCGTCATCCGTGGGTGGATCTTCAAGTCCACGAGTTGCTCACGGGGCTACCACTCCCCGTACAGGTATGTACTCAACCACATGGTGACGAACATCGTCCGCGCCATGTGGTTTGGAGAGGACCGACGCACATGTGTTAGCCCCGCTGTCCGCCCCATCACGCTGGAGATGGACATGATGCTCCCCATTTGGTTTGTCTGGGCACACATCGAGGACAAGCACAAGGACGACGAGTTGGCATCCTACCAAGAGGTGACCCTGCAGCGCCTGGTGGGGGCTTTCATGAGCGCCATCACTCTAGCGGAGGGGATCGACGGCGGGTGTGTCTCGTACGACAGGCTGAAGAACACTGCCGAGGTTATGAGGGTTCTACTAGCGGCGACAATGTGGCTTATGAGGATGAGCAGGGATGATCTGCGTTCCCATTTCGATGCCTCCTTGTTCGTTCAGCTCACCGTGAAGCCGACACTGGTGGCGTCCTTGCATCATTCATTCGATGCTCCTCGCCATATCCTTCAAGCAGCCACTGTCGTCATGGAGAGGATGGGCAAGCCCTCCATGACGTTGGCGGACCCACCTCTCTACATCCCAAACTGGGCATTCTGCGGCATCACTTTCGAACATGATGCCACTCTTCCATTGTGAATGGACGTGAAAAGGCTGGACTGGTTGGGGACTGGCCCCCTGGAGGAGGAAGAAGATAAACCTGCCGCACCGAACAACGATGGAGGGGGGTAGACAAGTGAAGCTGACGTGGCGAGACGACGACAAATGATGCTTTGTTAGAGTGGACGAAGGCGGCCGTGGAGTGTGTTGTCTTGCAGGGGAAGGAGGATGGTCGGCGGTCGGTTGCTCACTCTGTGCTTGTGCGGGTGGTCATGCACGTTTTCTGTGTCGACGTCCCCTCTTAAGGTGGGGGGATGTGCCGACGTGCTTTCGCCCCAGCGCAGTTGCGCCTTTTGTGGAGGGTGGGGTTTTTGGAGAGCTTCATCATGTGTGAGGACAAATGGCGCCGGATTTTTGCATTCCTGGGGTTTGTGCCAAGGTGCAAGCTTCGAAATTCTGCACCGTGTTATATTTTTTAGCCATGCACGAACTGTTGGCGGTTTCGACCGCGGGACTTCCGTTTGTTCGCTCGCTCATGCGTGGGGTCTTTGTGCGAGCGTCATGCATGCAATTTGCCGTGTAATGAATGTCTTTCGATCATTTCGCTTTGCCATGCATGCCATCGAAGACGAGCATTGAGATGCATGCTTTCTGTGGGTGTTTGTTGTGCATCCATTCATTTTGCTCACTCTTCATGTTCGTGTGCCATGTGTTCCTCAGATTCACCGCTCCCTTTCTCGCCGATGTCCAACTATGTTTGTTGTGTGTTGAAAAAGAGGAAGTCGTTGTTCGTCTTCCAACAACAGAGAGGTCACATCCATTGGCCACTGGCGTTTCTATGGCCATCACACGTTCGGACACACACACGCTAAAAGACAAACACACATGCAGTCGCAACACGAAATCGCACATGCACTTTTCCACGAGACAGGCACACAAACGCAAACACGAAGGCGCACATGCATGCTTCAGAGTCACCTCAACCCCCAACATAATATTATAACGTGTTAAACGGAAGCAACAAATTCATAAAATGAGAGCAGAAAAGAAGGATTTTTTTTTTTTTTGACACATTCAAATAACAATTCATATAACGTGTTGAAAAAGAACAACGCACACCACGCCACGTCATCAAAAACATCAACACACGGTTTGTGCAACAGAAGTCCATGAATTGGATCCGAGAAAAATCACAATTTTCGATAGAGGGGCCAAATGCCACGTGCGCTCAAGACTTCCGATAAATACTAATACAACCAAACAGACCAACCGACGATGCATGTCTACGACGAATAAGAACCAAAAACTGCCAACCCATAACACGTGTGTGCGCCATGGCGTCCTACGACAGCAACAGAGGACTGTATTCCATGACCTGTGGCAACACACTACCCAAATAATAATGTGAAAAAGAACTTAGACGAACACGTGTATTGACGAACATCCATTACGTCGATCCGATAAGATGAACAGCCAATACTCGCAAAACAGACCTGGTGAACGACCTTCGCCCACCAATGGCCACCGCACGTACACATGCCATGACCATGAGTGGGTCCAGTGGAGCACCTCCCCGGGAAGCAGGTGATGATGACGATCCTACATGCTAGGTCATTGCAACCCCCACCCACCTCACGTCAAGCGGAGGCGTCATGTCCACGGCCCACCACGCAAACCCTCCTGCCCCACCCCAACCACTCTGCCCGCCTACACCCGTTCACCCAACTTGATGCCTATGGGGCCGCTGTCACAATCACTCCACGACGATCACCGTCACATGCCACTCACCCGCTCCGCCTGTGCATCCCTTAGAATTAGCCCATCTCCCGTCGAACTCTCCATGCACACTGGCCTCAAGGAACGCTGGATTCCAAGATCCACACAACGACACGCTCCGTTTGCATCCACCTCCCACAACAGATTGTCGTCAAAGGAGATGCCCGCGTTGATGAGTGCGTTGTGGAGAATGCAAACAGCGACAAACTGCTGCGGCAACATCGCCATATTCGTCTTGTACGACCGCAGGAACAACCTCCACATCCCCTTCAGTGTGCCGAAAGCCCTCTCAATTGCCCCCCCTCGTGGTCTTTTGTTTGTTGTCAAAGTGCATCTCCGACGGGTGATGAGTAGTGCAGCCATAGGGAACAACTATCCATTCGGACGGGGGGTAACCATTGGCGCCAAACAGGTAGCCGTTCGTCTGGACTTGGAAGGGGATCATCACAGGCGGTCCCGTGAAAAGCTCCCCGGCCTCGACACGCCGCCATAGACTCAACAGGTGAATCATCCTGACATCGTGGCAGCTTCGTGGTTAGACGACAAAGACCTCCAACACACGCAAGTTCAGATCGACAACTACCTGCACAATTATTATGAAACATCGTTTCCAATCATAGTAGTCCTCGCTCGGGCCATTCCGGCTTGTCGATGTAGATATGAGTACAGTCGATGCGCACATGGCAGTTGGGGAAGCCCTTGTCAGCGAAAGCACGAAGGACTTGCACACCCCCGTAGGCCATGATATCCTCTCACGATAGACCGTCAGCAACACCATTGTCACGTCCCACACCGCCACCAAACCTGAAGCTTTGCCAATGCCGAAGTTACACGTGCTGCTCTTGTACGTCACCCCCAACGCCCACCGATACAATGCATAGCCAACGATCTGATCAGGCTGCAACGGTTCCCTGTAGAACGTCACACGCCACTGCAGGAAGGGCGACAAAGTTTCCGCAATCTCCCCGAAGACACGTGGCGACATGCGCAGCGTGTCCCGAAAGTATTTCTCCAACACGTCGTTGCATTGCCGCAGATCCTCCCCCGTCCCCCCCGTCCTTCTTTTCATCCACCACTTGGGCGTCACTCTGGGAAGAACACAACCCAAGGCGCAGCACACCTGAAGGACGACATTGCAGATGGCGGCGGTGTTCAACCCTTCCACCGCCATACTCCCCGCCATCCTCCTCCACGCGCGGATCTGCGCTTTCATTCTCCCCGCCATCCTCTCCACCTGACAATGGAAAAGGACAGCGGTAACGGCCGCTGCCACTGCCGTCCTCTCCGCTGTCGTCAACTTCCCACGCTCGTCATTACCGCCGCCCTCCATCGCCACCAAATGTGCTGTAGACATCACCGTCAACGATGGCGACAGACTCCGCCAAAGTTCCATGGGATGAGCAAACCGCACCACTTGAGATGGACGGTGATCACGCAACCAAGGGGCTGTTAGCAGCCTACACGACGCATTCCGCTACTCTCCCCACAGATGGACCTGGAGGACAACCGCAATGGCATCTTCACGCAGGACGTCTTCCTTGCCTGGCCGCACACACCACTCATGCTGACCCCGCCAACGCACACCGGAAGGATCTTCCTGTCTGATGTCCTCCACCAGCAGCCTCAGCCACATGACAAACCGCCTTCACCCCAACAGCGTAATTTGAATTTTGAATTTCGAACTAGGACGTACGTGCGTTTTATTTTATTTTTTTATGGGTCGCCGTGAAGATTCAAAATTTTCCGCCACTTGAAGCTGGACCACGCCCTTCCACACGAACAGCAGTCCATGGACCACCGACCCCACACCCCCCCGCGGTCGGCAATGATATTATGCGACTGGCTGCGGGCCCGCCACAGGAATCCTCCTCGGAAGACCATCCCAAGGATGAGTGGAACGATGGCAGAAATTCTCTCGGGCGACCCAAAGGAAAACACCTCGGGCCCTGAGGATGACCCAAGGAGTGTCTAACAAGACCCATAGGCTTAAACCCATAACCCATAGTGTGCTGCGGATATGGATCGATGGGGTGGACATCATGAGGTACGTAGGTAGCAAGTGTGAGGTGGAAAATATTGAGAGAAGAGAATAGCGTAGTGCATGCAGCTGTCCCCCATATGAGGAGAAGACGTCTTTCTTTTTTTCAAAAAAAAAAGGAGCCCTCTCTTTGTGAGGTTGCTTGATGGTACTCTGCTTCTCCTGTTGGGGGAAATGAATATCAACTCCCTTTGACCTTAAAAGGTCTGCAGGGTGGGACGGGTCAGAATCCTACTTCAAGTCATGGACCACTCACTCCACATGTTCTCTTCCCATGAGCCTCTCTACCAGCAGAAGCATGGGCACAAGTGCAGCAGGAAATCACATGGAACCAACTGACCCAATTCCTATGAATAACTAAGTAAAGAAAGGTGAAATGAGAATGGAGGAGCGAGCAAGTCAGGATGGCATGAGAGTTCTTTTTCGAAGAGAGGCGAAGGTGACCAGAGCTAAAGTCATTGAGCTTGGGCCATGCTAACGGCTCGGGTAGCAATGTGACAGCATGCTCCAGGGTAAGTTGAAGGCCATATCTAGGATAGGAAATGGTTTCAAGGAGCAGCAAGAGGCACGAGCGAAGGTAGGGGACGCCAAAGGTGGCAGGAAGGAAGATAGGAAATAGAGAGAGGAGGAGATCGAATCAGTGAGAGAGAGAAGGGTCATGGGGAGAAATCTTGCTGTGAGTATTCCTGGAGGCATATTCCAGGCAGGTATTACACTATGGTTCAGGTAAACCATCATGGGAAGTCGCATAGTGTGAACCAAGGATGTACTGCACTTGACCATGTACAGATGGACAGACGAATGGACGGACAGATGAACGGGTAGGCACTGTCTGGTTACTTAGGCCTGGACCCCACAGGAATGCAGAAAGGAAAAACTTTGCCGCTGAACTGTTTCCTGGACTCCACCACCTGCGGAAGAGGTCCTGGAAAGTTGCGATTTATTCCGCGGAACTGTTTCCCAGGACCCCACAGCCCCCCTTTTTTGGCCTGGAAGAGGCAAGGAGTCCGTTTTCACATCATTTGCAGCCTGGAAAAGCCCCACGGGAGGGAAAATCGCCGCGATTTTGTGCCGAGTGGAGAGTGTGGAGAGGGGCGACAGCTCGAAAGTTTCCAAGGTGTCCGCCCACGGGTCTTGTTCTGCAAGCGTCGCCCCCACGTCACCCCCTACCGGACCTCACTGGTTCCTACGCTCCCCAGCCGACCACCCGGACAAACCACCACTTCCCTTTTCGGGACAGTGGGCAGGGGAGTTTCCTGTTACGGGAAATTTTGACATCATGTTACCCCAAAACTCACTCCGCGGTGGGGTCCCCGTGGAAATCTTTCCAGACTTTCCAAAATTCTTCCACCATTGTTTTTGGGCAGACGTCTTTTCCAACGGAATTCCTGTGGGGTCCAGGCCGTAGAACCTGGTTGCCTGCTTTTCCAGGTTGATCTTCCTCGAGGTTTATGGAAAATAATGACATCTAGCCTTGCACATCATGCAGTTCATTTCATTGATTCTTTGCCTATTGGTCGAAACTCATTTGCCTCTGAGGGAAAAGTTGATGTTAAGAAACCCTCGTATAAACCCTGGAGAGTGAAGCAACAAATGGTATAGGGTGGCCGGTAAGCCCACCACCTATACTCAGTAGCAGATCGAAAAAGCACGGAGTTGCTTATGCACTCAACCACCGAGCCATTAAACGCAATGGCCTGCTTCGGACTTTACAGATCAAACAGCATTGCATGTCCATGAAATCACAAATGAAAGCATGCAGGGATGAAGGCTACGGACGGCTGTGGATTGTTTTTTTCCTAAACATCAATTGCACATATTCGGGACATCCATTAAAGTCAGAACGATAAAGAGAACGTTAGCATGGCCCCTGCACACAAAAAAAAGAAAGAAAAAAAAAAAAGACGACATGCCTGTATCAAGACATGGTCCCACACACACAAAAAAAAAAGCACCGGTGATCTGAAAGAAACAATGAACAGCACTGCATTTCCATGGTGCCTCAAATGGAACTATCCAGGGCTAAGAGCCATATGGGAAAGAGGGTTGCGCTTTTTCCATACGTTGACTTCACATATACTGCCACTGATCCGATAACAATGAAAAGCTCCACCTGACCCACAAAAACCACAGCGAGAGAATACCCAGACACAGAAAGCATGCAACATGTTCAGCTGACCGCAGCAAGGATCCATGGCGATAAACAAAGGAAGGAAAATGACAAGAATGGTAACAGGAAAACATCGACGCAATGTTGTCAAAGCCAAAGTCGCCTCGCCTTCTTAAGTCCGTTATCTTTCTAGTTCTTTGCAGTGGGCACAGCCGAAGTCAAGCCACTGGTGAGGCAATCCCATCATCTTCAGCTCGTGATCAATAAGGGTCAATAAGGGTCACAGCAATCCACACAAGCTACACATGTGTTAGACTGCATCATCAACTGCTGTTCACCTCCTGACACACACTGCCTGGTCTTCCCTCCATAATAGTCTATAAATTACTAGTAACCTATTACACACAATTTCATGCAACTTATCCGGAAAAAAATTCAGCTTGGGAGAAGCCATAAGGTTCCCTCCATTGATGTGTGTTGTGCGGTGTCAAATGTAGACATTGTCCATGAGGTCATTTCATCAGACGAGTTGGCTACACAAACATCCAAAGTTCTCTCCAGCTGTATTATCAGGGAGTGCAGATGCAAGCTAAATTGTTGGGCCATTGGGATCGGAACCTCCAAACTGCCCCAAGTATTTGCAGAGTTTCAAGCTGGGCTACCAACCGGGCTGCCTGGGTCACCTTGGTTGCCAGGGCGGCCCACCCGGGCAAGGGCAAGGGAAGGTCCCTGGAAGAAAAGAAAAAGAATTCAAAAAATCTGAGAAAAAAACGATGTTATCATTGTTATGCAGAAAATTAAACAGAACAACTTTTGGCTCCGTGTCATATCTAAATTCCTAACCAATTTAGAAATAAAAAATAAAATTGAGAATTTTTTTTTTTGATTTTATTATTATTATTATTTATTTATTTTTTGGCCCCGCCGCGCAAGTGGTCCTGCGGCCAAGTCCCACTAGGGAGGGCTTTATGCCTGCCGCAGGGACCTCCGTTTTGTGCGACATTCATTCTGGCCACCGATGTACATGAATCGTAGGGTGCTGCGGGGGGGAGATTTTTCCGCCATGCCACATCGAGGAAGGAGGTGAACAAGCCGGCTTGTGATTGGCCGCAGTTTTTTTGACATTTTTAATGACAGGCCGATTTCGGTCCTCCTCCGTAGTGCGGTTCAAGTCGGGCTAGAGTGGAGAACTGCCGTCCCGTTCTGAATTCGAGGAAGGTCGACGAAGTTGAGAAAAGGAGGAAAATATTCACCCGCATTTGCTGCCCTTTCGCACGGGCCACATTACTCACTGGAGGTGAAAGGCTCCCCCACAGTCAAAAATGAAAAAATGTCAGGGGGGTGCACCTTTCCATGTCCTAGCGGAAGATTCATAATTTTGCTAATTTTGTGGACGGAAGCACACCCAAGGCGTTATGCGCATGCTGTGGTAAATACGAACAGGGGCCTCCCTCCAGCGTTTGCCAATGGATGTTCCGCAGCCCACTGGTGTGTACGCATTGCATCCTGCAGCCATAGCCGCGTGTTTGCAGATGTTGTTTTAGAATGTGGTGTGGACGAGTTCTTTGTTGGGTGACAGACGTGCAAGCTGTCAACTTCTCTGTCCATTCCATGAGGGACACGTCTCTCTCTCTCTCTCTCTCTCTCTCTCTCTCTCTCTCTCTCTCTCTCTCTCTCTCTCTCTCTCTCTCTCTCTCTCTC